GCTTCTAACAATTCATCTAATGATAACAATATGTAATCATATAATCTGATTTACTATTTATTGATGTATGTGTCTAACTTTTACTACTAAAGATTTTTTTTATAGGGTTTCTTTAGTATATATTGTTCTGCAAATATTAATTACGTTGTAATTTACTTGTCACATAAATTGTTATCATTATTGATTTTAAAACAAAGTTGGTTAGGGAAAATACAAACTGTTTACCAAATTCCACATAAAGCGATAACAACTTCTCAAAAAATCAAACTTTTCTCCACTTGCAAAAAAAATTTTTTTTATTACAAAAACATATAATGTAATATAATGTAATACAATTAGTATAAATCTTTACTCTAAATTAAATTACAAATTTCTTTACACTAATAATATTAATACTGTTTTCAAACTATACATGTTGTCAAAATTAATTTGTCTTTGACTTAATTCCGAAATCTCAATTTTCAATTGCGTCCGACTCAATTATTTATATGTTTTTCATATGACTCAATTAATTGCGTCAAAAAGTCACCTGATTGAGTCAAACGATCAACCAATTTCTACCACATATATATTTCAAACCACTACTCCTCTTCCATTTTCAAAGGTATAGGTGTTAAATTTGCATGGAAGATAGTAAGTAATACGAGTTATAATTTAGAACCATGGTAAAATTTAATGATTGTAAAAATACCTAAAAAATTGTATGATTGGCACGGTCTAAAGACCTCCTAATGGTGCGCCACGAAATCTCAAATTTCAAAAATAGCGATTTCGTCGTTCAAAACTAATAAAATTTAGTATTCCAAAAATGCAGATCACGTGAACTTAGTGTGATAAAATATAACGTACTGTTCTCAGCATAGTGGAAATAAACTGGATTTGAATTGGATCTGAACTTGATCTCCAATTTAGAGAGGTAACAACTATATACTGGAGAAGTTTCAGAAGCAATGAGCTCTGCACAAGATTTCGTGCAACAACAAATTTCCACTATGCTACTGTTCTCT